TATTTTGCTGCAATAAAAAAAAAAACTAAAGGAAATCACAGACCTGGTTCTATCCCAGCTCTGCTCTGTGCTGTTTGAGTGACACTGGGCAAGTCGCCAAACTGTAGAGAGCCAGACACTGTAAATGGAGGTGAGGATACCCAGAGCACAGCCCCAGCGTGATGCCCAAGCGAGAGCACGTATGTGATGGAGCAAAGTCCTTTACAGACGGTAAACGTCTCTGTGAAGCTAAGCTCTTCTTACTCTAATTCGATGATTCTACTTGGCTGGTGTACGTGAGCACATAATTCATACTTAAAGTAGTCTGCAAACGCGTGGAAGGCTCTGTTATCCGCAGGGCCTTGCAATCAGACTCGTTAGATCGACCCCACATTCCTTCTGCACGGTTTCCCTGGGCTGATCCAGAGCCATTATTAGGGTTCATGACAGAACCTAGTTGCAGTTGCAACTATTGATATGAAGGAGAAACAATTTGGAAAGCGACCTACAGGTGATTATTAGGCCTAAAAACGTTTTCTATAAAGGAAGAATAAAGCCACAGGCCCAGACATAAGGGACCCACTCTTTTTGGACTACCTCTTCTGTGCTGGACCATCAATGTGCATTTTCCCCTGCAATCCTCATCACACCTCTTGCAGAGAGGATTTCTAGCCTCATTTTACAGATGAGGAAACTGGCACTCAGAGGGGTTAAGTAACCTAACAGAGTCCTAGGGTCACCAAGTGGGTAACACTGAGAAAGAGAACAGCAGCGGACAGGCAGAGCCAGCGCGGGCCTCAGCCAGGCCTCGGTGTTCTTGTGTTGAACATGAACACGTTCACAGATGCCCCACATCAGACAAGGCCGCTCGTGACCATGATGGGTCAGGACAAACCAAGACCACTCGGTGGCCACGGCTGAGCACAGGCAGATATGAACGTCGTCCCAATTATAACAGTGACCAAATGTCCTTCTCTCCTGGCTTTAGCCTTGCTCCATTCTTCCTGCCTTCCAGATAAGAATTATTAAGACAATCATACTCTCAATTCCTTACAGCATCCAACCCAGAGAAAAACCTTATTTTCTTGACTCTCGCCCAAATCATCTAAGAGAAGTCCAATCCTACTATAAGCCCTTTCTAACACCCTCTTACAGAGATGCCCATGGGTCCCCTCACTGCAGTGAGTAATAAACCCAACTTGTTCAACTGCGAGTGTGCTCCTGGTGGCCTTGGCTGGAGGGAGTTGGCAGTAGGAGTCCTCACCTAGATCTACCTGACTTCAGATCCGCATCCTTTCACTGCACCTCCCAGCAAACAGGGTATTCAGCTTAAGTCATTTTTACTGTATGGTTTCCATCTACTTTGTCGTCCTCTAGAAACGAAGCTATGACTATGTCAGAAGCACAAGTGAGCTTAAAGTTCATAAGTGTTTGCCAACTCCCATTAAGAGACGAACCATTCATTCACTCACCCACATCCTCATTCTCCATGTTAGCGGGTGGCCTCCTGTGTTCCAAGCTCTGGTTCAGGATTTGGGACACTGGCGTGAAAGGCGCAGTGGAGCTCACTGTGTGGAAGGGGCTACGAGATAACATGATGACAATGCAGACAGAGGCCTCCACAGGGCCCTGCAGGAGTCCGGGAGCAGAGTGGCCCCCATCACCTGCCGAGTCCAGGCTGCCTTTATATTTGAGCTGGTTCTGAAAGTGTGAACTCCCAGGTGCAAGGCAAAGAGAGGCCCCGAAGGCAGAAGGAACTGCTGTGCAGAGTCTCAGAGATGGGAAAGTCCTGTGGTGTCTGGGCAACAGAGTACAGAAAGTGGGGCACAGGGGAGGGAGGAAGTAGATGAAGCTGGACAGGAAGGTGGAGCCAAACTGGAAGAGCCTCGTGCGCCATCCTGAGGGGTTTGCATTGTCCTTGAGCTAATAAGGAGTCAGGAGTATTGTTTCAAGCAGGAGACTGGCATGACCAGATCCATTTCTGAAAGATCATTCTGGCAGAGGCATAAATAAGTTTTTTTAAGCGTGATATATGTGACTGGAGGTTGAGCTTTGATTCATGGTCTAGAAGAGGCATTTATTAGCTCTAATGGACTATGAGACTAATGGGTCTTGTGTGCCCAGCTAAGGAGCTGTGACCTTACCCTGTGGGTGATGCAGAGCCGTTGAAGGATTTGAAGTGGGCAGAGATGTGGTCAAATCTGCTGAAAAAAATACATCAACAGCATGCTGCGTTCATGTGTGATTTCATTTAGGCCTTTTGGAATATCAAAAATAGCCTAAAGACCCAATCATGACCTTGCCAGAAGCCAGGTCAGAAATTTCTGGATCAAATGATTTCTTAGCTCCCCTCCAGCTCTGACAGTCTAAGATTCTGTAACAGGGAAGGTAAAGCTATTGCCAAAACATATAATGTATCACAGTGTCAGGCTTTGGGATTATCTGCTGCTTGGGGTTTTCCGCGCCACTGCTCCCCTTCATTAGTGGGGATAATTGAGAGTTGACTACAGCCCTTACCGCTGTTGTGATGGGTGTTTGAAGCTGAATTCCGGCAAGAGGCAGTGTGTGAATATTTATCTCAGCCGCAGAAAGTTAATGCCGTGTGGCATTAATTACCCTGTCTGAGCCTGCTGTCTTCTGCTGTTTTGAGGTGTCATTCTCAGTTGAATAAATTAGTTTCCAAAATTAGAATAGAGCAAATTGTAAGGTGAGATCAAGGCAGCCTGACTTCTTAGGGCATCTGAAAAGAGAGTGGGCTGAGAAAGTCTGCCCAGGCAAGATGAAGATGCAGCCTCAGAAATGTTTTTCCCAGAAGTCAGTTAGCTCCCTCACTACCCTACATTTGCTCCGTCCACCCCACCCCAAACACAGACACACCGGAAAGGTCCATGTTTAGCCTCACAACAGGTGTTTGAAACATTTCAGGACATTGGCAGAGAACGGATGAGGTGCTTAATAAGTCACGCTGTAGATTTTGCTAGATGAGATTTGGAGAGAGTAAAGCCAAATTGGAGTGTATTTAGGACAAAGAGATCAGAGCAGTGGAGCGAGTAGAACCTCGATGCGGCATTCCTTAGTTCAGCAAACCTTCACTGAGCACCTGCTGTGCCAGGGCCGCATGTGTGAAATGGCAGGAGGAACTGGCTGACCGTAGGCCAGAGGCAGGATGTGGAAAAATAGGCTGCCATGCTTTCTGTCATCGGACATTCGGCAGAAGGATTACACTTATTCCTTATGTTTCCGAGGACAGTATGAAGTCCCGTGGGTGGAAAGCATAGAGGAACATGTTGGCGCTCTGTTATATTACAAAATAGGTGCCTCGAAGGGTGGGAAGCTCCTCCTCCCTGGAGGAAAGCAAACGCAATGAGTTCTAGAAGAAAACATGCTGGATCTGATGGCAGGAGTCCTGGATTCTATTCGTGGCATGGCTACTAAGTAACTATGACCCTGAGGAGACAAAAGCTCTTCTCCGGGCTTCAAATTCCTCATCTGTACAATGATGGAACTGTGCAAAATCATTTTCTAGTCCATTCCCACTTTGCAAGAAAAGCAAGCTATGTGATAAATACATGAGAGACAGCGCAATGGCCTTGAGATTACACAACCTCTCAGACCTTCAGTTTTTATCTGCAAAATGAGATGGAAGGAATAAAAGCCATTCCCAAAACTGATAGGCAGATACAATAAGACGTGAGCATGCTTTATAAACTCCAGAGCACTCTACAACTCTACAGATGGAAGGGTTGTTTTATTATTAATATTAATTGCAGCTGTCATAATAAACTGGAAAAAGCACTGGACCCTACTTTCAGGTCTCATGTCCCAAACTTACTAGCTGTGTGACCATAGGCAAATTACTTAACTTCTCTGTGCTTGATTTCTCATTTGCAAAAGAGATAAAGCATCTGCCTTACAAGCCTGTTGTGATGAGTTATAAAGACGATGTACTTGAAAATACCCAGTATGGTGCCAGACACGTAGTAGGGGCTCACAGAATGTCAGTTCAATCTTATGGTTCGAGAATATCAAAAGAATCTGTACTCGCATGGCAGGAGGCAAGCTGATATATCAAATATGGCAGAATTAAGATATCACTGTGTCCATTTAATTCTGGCATAAACATCCCGGAGTGACAGCATAAAGGTCAGTTTTAACAGAAAGGCCTATGCATGCTTAAGACCAGAGTATTGATCTCCTCTTCTTGGCCAGCATGCCCTGGGCCATCTCAGCATGAACTGAATCAGGAGAGGTTTCAACAGGGCCAGACACCGTTTCCCGTTTACGTTTGGGTTAAATGTTCGCTGTGTCATACACTGGTGAAAATTCCTGCGTATGTGTCAGGACAGCCCCATGGGAGCAGGCAAATGATTGGCCAAACCTAAAATGGCAGACTGAATGGAAACAAATCCCAAAAGATTCTAACTAAGAGCTAAAAGGCACCATTGCTATTTCTCTTACTGCAAAACACACTTAGTCATCACTACTCGTAGAAACCAGAGTCATTTGAAATAGGCTTTCAGTGGTCTCAAGTGGACATTCATGAAGCTGTGTTGGGAAAATGTCCACTTGACTCATGATAATTGTTACTATTTTCTGAAGACCTTTTACTACCCAGCACCATGCTAGATGCTTTATATATGTTATCTCTAGTTCTCCAGAACCCTGTAGAATAAACAGCATTATTCCCATTTCATGGTTGGGGAAACTGAGGCTCAGAAAGGATAAGTATTTTGCCCACATCCCACAGTTCGTCCAGCTCTCTCTGCTATACCATGCTATTTCCCTTAACGTGGCAGTCAGTCTCAGCTGGAAAACCAAGGACAAACCTGGGTGAGAGTTCTCGATGATAAAAAAAAGTTGCCAAAATGATATGCACCATGATCAAATAATCCAAAAATAACCTAAGGTCATCCATTATAAACTATCACCTTTCTGTTCTAATCCCAAACTCCCCTTCCTAAACCATCTCAGAAAATCCTATTTGGGCAAGAGCAGGTCTCACTTTGTCCCTCTATCCGTAGGAGCTGGAGCCTCTCTATGCGCAGATCAACAGACCTAAGAAATAGCATCGATGCAGGCTCGTGGCGGGTGCTTCAAGACTGCCATGGACATCAGCATCGCCACAGGCTCTCTTGTGTTCTTTCACCTCACCTCACCCCATGAAGAAATCATGATTGCCCAATGGAACTCGTTTGGAAGCGGGAACTAAGAGTTTTTGGCAACCAATGGCAGATATCTATGGCAGCACAAAAAAAACCCCTCAAAAGTATAAAAAATCATACCCAACATTAAGTCACAAGTCAAGCAAATGCTTACCCGACAAATATTCTGAGCTCTCTTAGCATGGGTTTGAGATGACCCGGTCTGCAAAATCATAATTCTCTTTTTATTTCTCTACCTGTTGACCATTTGGAGTGACAGGCCTCAGAGAGTTACAACAGGGTTGGCACTGACTTCCTTTAGGCAAAAGCAAGAGGTCTTCTATGACCACAACATCATCATCCATAGGCCTTTTGACAGATGATAATGTTTGTCATGACTCCACAGGGCCCGGTCTGCCATTTTCCCCCCTTTCCTTTCTTTGTCATGTTTGAAAATTAATGGGTGTACAAATTTTTGTATTGCTTTTGACTTTTTTTAGGTGTGGGTGAAGAAATCTAACTGGGAAAAAAAAAAAAAAGCCTCATATGAAATGAATTAACTTGAAATCACAAGACAAATAAGTGATTGATTATTCTTTATGATCGAGAAGGTTGCCAAAACAGCCCTTTAGCTATTTTGCATCCTGGTGAAGAAAGACAGCTTTCGGTCTGAACCTTCACTCTGTGAGTAGGAGAGGACATCGAATCCCATTGATGAGAAAGACGAAAAACACATCTGATTTCCTAAGAAGCTCTAAACTCTAAGTACAATTAAATGATATTTTTTATTTTTCCGATATCTTGCTGCTGTGACGCTATGCAGACAAGTGTCTTCTCCACGTGCCATTTTCAAAGAAAGTCATTTGCCAAATAATCCTGGTACAATCCTGGTAATGTGGTTTTGGATCTTAAAAACCAACTTTCTAATGGAACAATGGTGACATGAATATTCAGAATAACAAACTGATTCCGTGCTCACGATGGTTCATCTCTATCTCTTTTTGTACATCAGAAAATTCAAATGGGATTTTTATTTTATAACTTGAAAAAAAAACCTTACCATTAAACTCTTTAAATATTTAAGGGAAATGGCTTTAAGGAGTTCTAATGAAAAAAAATTGCCAGTTTTTTTTGTAAATATAAATGTTAATGAAAATGCTTTTTAATAATGCCATTACACTGTAGAGAAGGTAGCAGGTTGAGTGCGAGATGTGACACACTTGATGGATGGGGCTCACTTTCCAGATGTTATTCTGGAGCGTGCGGCAGGAAGCAGGAGTTCAGGGACAGCTGGCAGGAGCAGTTGGGTGATCAGCAGCGAGTGAGCAAGAAGGGGGCCAGTGGCCCCACCGTCTCCTCTAGCCTTTCCATGGGAGCGCCCGCCCTCTGCCTCAGACAAGAGCAAGACGGCCCCTTTCGGCAGGCCTGTCCTTCAGCTGCTGACACCCTCCCACCTCTCCACGCCCACCTACCCCCATAGAGATCACGGGACTGTTTGTACAGGAGACAGAGGAGTGGAAGCTTCCTTTTTTTACGTTTATGAGACAAAAAGTGCAGTGTTCAGTTCGGATGTTTAGCACATGATTTTCATAAAGAATCTATATATTTTTGCCCTACAGAAAATTGTTCTACAGGTCAAATGTGTTTTCCTGATGTTCCTATGCAGTTACAGTATGTTGAATTTAGTGGTTTAACACTAAGAAGAAAACTTTCAAGAATCATGTGGTTAATTGGATTTGGGGTAATTATTACTTGGTTTTAAATTTGAAAAGTAGAATTTACATTGACATGTTTGACTTAAATGGGCCTGTATACATTGATTCTTCATATCAATGGAAACTAAAATGATTTGGAAGAAGGTGTGCTTGTTCACAGAGAGAAAATTGATAAGTCAAGTTGATTGTTACTGTTTGAAGTCCAAATTTTACATTATCAGGCCACTGGAATCTAAATTTTTTCCAGTTAGGTAAACTGACCAAATGTCCATTCCAGAACGTATGTAAATGTCACCCTGATGTGGAAGGTCTGAAGAACCAGAAAGTGAGGCCCTTTACCTCCGTCCGCAGCGGTCACCTGGGGTCCACATGATTTCTCTGGGAATTGCACACGTTTTGTGACTAGGTACTCCTTTCACAGGAAGAGGAGAATGGGAAGGGTGTGATATGGATTCGATGAGAGAGGCATTTCCCATGGGGAAATAGCTTAAATTGCTATACCGTCTGTGACTCCGATTCTAAACAAGTGGTGCTATCTCCTCCTCACTATGGCTGTCTGAGTCTGTCTCGCAGTGTCGCACCACTATACTGATTCTTCGGGCGGCTCCTGACACGCTCGCGGTGAACTCCGGCTGATGCTGCTGTTTCAGGTACACCGTCTAGAGTTAATTTCATAGCAGAAAGTGACAGCCCGGTGGACTTGTCATCATTCATTGAATGCGATGGAGGATGTAAACTGGCTCTGAACTTAAGATGCCCATGTGGTGCATTAAAGTGAGGGAAAGAAATTAAGATGTTAAACTGCCATCCATATTATCATTGGCAGAATTCTGACTTTTAACAAGCACTGTTTGGCGAGCTCAGAACCACCAAATCCTATATCCCAAGAGGACAGTGACATTTCCAAATAAGAGCTGAGGTGCCGATACCAAAAGGCCATGGGGAGTCTGCACAGTTCTGGTTAGATCGATAGAAAATCCACGTGTACCACTGTTAATTCCTCATTCTCCACTAGCACTAAATTTGTCACTTTAAATTTTGAAACCAGGGAAACGCCACCTGTCCTTCTGTCCCCATTCCCCATAGCTCTTCAATCTTCACATGCCGCAGACTTTTCTGATAACTCGTGCTCATCCCAGTGTCTACTGAAACCCTGTCGTGTGATGTACCGGCACCTTCTTTTAAAAAAATGTTTACTCTGTGGGTTTGGTTCATTTCAATTTCTGCATTCTGACACATATTTTTTTAATAAAGATGAGAAAGAGAAAATGACTGTTGCAGTACATTTCTAGACCTACTTTAACTTTACCTCAGATGACAGTTTGTTAACATATACGGACACATTATTTTTAACTTTATGTACAACGCATTCAACAGAACAGCGAAATTTTTAGAGATTTTCCATTAATTTCTGTAACATGCCATGTAAAACTGTTACAAATAAACATGTTTGAGATCAACAGCTTAGCCTGGTTTTTATTCCACAGTGTCTGCAGGATATCCAGGCGAGGGGTTGGAAGAAGGCGTTGCTTCCGTCTAAGCTTCCATCTGACCCGGGGAAGACCTCTGTTTTGCTGGCACTGGGCCAGGAGAGGAAGCTTCCTTCAGGAGTTAGAGCAGTTTGTCCTCAGTTGAACTCAGGTACTTGTTACACTTGGAAAAGCAGCCACAGTGAAGAATGAGGAGGATGTTGTCAGGAAACGGACACCCTGTGTAGATGTGGTATTTGGATCACATTTAGCACTTGGGACATTCCAAGGTGAAGACCCCGGGCACTAGCCCTATAGATTTGTGTCTTCTCCTCAAGCCCTGCTAACCTGTCGGTTGGAAAACCAAGGTTAATCTAGACTCTCGAAGAATTTGCCATAGTTCATTTCAAGGTCATCTGCTTTAGGGGACCCAAAGAGGGAGGCATTTGGCTTCCTTCACATTCCCTACGCACTCCACAACAGAAAACAGAAGACAAAACGAAGTCTGAAGCTAGATTTTGACTTTTATATGTACTGAATAACAGAAACAAATGTGCGTGTGCATATATATTTATGCATGTGTGAATATGGTGTATATATGTGTGTGTGTGTGTGCATATGTGTCATTTTTATCTCCCTTTGTAACTAAGTCAGTTGGTCTATCCAATAATCAGCCAGGTCACAGATTACAATCAAGTCACTGAGATGCCGGGAAACACCTCGATTTAGGGATGGTCGTGTTAGTAGTCTCATAAACAAACACATGCCCCCAGTCTGGCCTCATTAAACAGAAAGTATTAAATGGATGTCACGGCCGACTTTAAGAAAATGAGAGGAAGGACTTAGATTCCAGCAGAATAAGTTTGGTGCAGATAGAAGAGACTCTCACACAGTGAGAAATGCTCATTCCTGGCTTAGAGCGTTAGAAAACGTTGCAGAAGCTTTTCTGAATGACAACAGTGGCTCACACCTGTTGAGCAAGTAACATGTGCACAGTTGGTGCTGGCTGCTCTGTCTGTTGCCTCAGTTCATTTTCTAAACAGCACAGGGTCGATATTATCCCCACTTGTAGATAAAGAAACTGAAACTCGGAGAGATTGAATAATTTCCCTGGCTAACAAATGGGAGAGTTGATATTTGAATTTTGAGTCTCTTTACTCATAGTCTGATTTTAATTTTTGGAAAAAGCTGGATATTCACTCTTTTAAATAGTTCTACATAGGCTTGTTTAAAAGCATTAACCTTTTATGCCTCTTCCCAGATCTCTCTTTGGTCTTTGATAATAAGTTAGATTTCTAAATTCCTTCAGTTTACAGTAAAAAAAAAAAAAAATGTTACTATCTTATGTAGGTTGCTAAATACATGGTTTATTCTCCAACTGGCATTTTCGAAAAAGTATGTGTCTGAGGGATAAAGAATATAACTTTTTGCCCAACTAGTTCAAGTTTAGCTGAAACCAAGCACTGGTGATTTACTTTTCCAGCCCAAATGAATCTTGAAGAAGTGACAAATTAAAAGGTGTCCTACTTAACTGCCAGGCAGGTGCCAAAATAGATCAGACAGACGTATCTGCTTTCATTTTGTGCTTGAGAGCAAACCCTTGTTGTTTTGACAGTAAATGTTTTTTGTTTTACTCAGAATGACAGTAAGAAAAATGCCCAGAATAAAAACAGGTTTCACTGAATCAAGCTTCAAAGCTTTGAAAGCTTTTAAAAGATGTTTAAATTCAAGGGAAATGTGAGCAGTGGTGCCTGAAAGATTAGAAAAAAAAAAAAGCAAACAGATGTAAATGGCTTTCAAGCCATTTAGTGACCAGTTCTCAGTATGTATGTTGAAAGATGACTAACAGCTGCCGTGTTGTGCTTCTGCTCTGTATGTGCCACTCATTTTCTAGCTAAGTCCCTGCACAAACCCCGAAAGGAAAGAAAGTGGTCCCCATTTCACAGCTTAGGACAAGGAAACACAGACATGCTATGAAACAGCTCTCAGTTAACAGAGCCAAAGAGCTCACCAGAGGCTGGCATAATTCCCAAGGTCTGATTCCCAAGTTCCTTCCTCTCCTCTATGGTTGTTTCTGTCTGCAGGGATTCTGTGATGTCAAATTGCTCATGCACCCTCGATAAAATACTTTTGAGTCGGGGCTGGCTCCGTGGCTGAGTGGTTGGGTTGGCGTGCTCCGCTGCAGGCGGCCCAGTGTTTCGTTGGTTCGAATCCTGGGCGTGGACATGGCACCGCTCGTCGGACCACGCTGACGCAGCGTCCCACATGCCAAAACTAGAAGGACCCACAACGAAGAATATACAACTATGTACTGGCAGGCTTTGGGGAGAAAAAGGAAAAAAATAAAATCTTTAAAAAAAAAGAATAAAAAAATACTTTTGAGTCTTTCTGTATTCAATTCCAAGTAGTGTCTATTATATTAGAAAAATCACACCATGCATTACTCTGACTGATTCAGTACAGAAATTGTCTTAAGTGAAATGACTACTTATTTTAAAACAAAGGAAAAGTCCAGTTTTCTTCTCAAGAACAGTAATAGCTCTAACCCAGTGCAATGAATATTTTTTTTAATCTCAAAACAAAACCCTAGCATTCACTTTATCTTCCAAGGCACACAGATCTGAAGAGGGAACCTTTTTGAACAGGTCTTCCGTTCATCCCCTGCTGAAGAATATTAATGACTGCCAAGTGGAAAATGTCTAAATATTCTTGCAAGACGGCAGCCTCTAGTGACGTGGGTCTTTAATCTTCTGAAGAGACTCTTGCCACTTCTATCACTCACGCTGGGGTCACAGCCTGGAGTGAGGAACGAGCAGGAGTGGGTGAGACAGAATAAGCAGAATAGGGGCTGGTGTGGTCGACAGTAAAATGCTCAACTGCCCTTCTTCGTCCTGTACTTTGAGCAACTCTCCTGTGGCTCCCCTTTGGGGTGGGGTGGGGAACCCTGAAATCTCTCTCATTGCAGATTATAGGTCCAAGTCACTCACCTCGAGCTCAGGGCCACACGCTCAAGCATCTAGGAACTTAGTTACTAAAGGAAAGTTGTTTCCTCTCACCTGTCTTGTGCCCTTTCAGACTTTCAGAGAAGGAAAAAGAAAGTTCTCAACCGTTACACAGCCCATGTTTATCCTTTCAGGATAAAGCAATATCACAGCATAAACTGAAGATAAAGGCAGCCTTACTCAGTAGTTAGCCCGCTTTCAACAGAAGACAGACAAATGATGCGAAAGCCAAGCAGGCAGGTCAACGCCGATGGCTTTGCTTCTTCCTATTGCGCGCTAAACTTAGGCAGAACGTGGGAAGTAGACGGTTTGACCAAAGCTTCACCCTTTGCTTATCGTTTGTCTCTTTTCTCACTTAAGTGAAGCGCACCATTTTTACTGGTGTGTAGAGTAGTTTCTAGATGGTGGACTCTGAATTCAGAAAGTGTTGGTTTAGGTTCTGGCTCCACGACTTGCCTGTTGTTTGACCTCAGACAAGTCACTTAAGATCTCTGAAATTCAGCTCACCCGCCTGTATAACGGAGACAATAAGGTCTACCTCATGGATTGTCATGAGAAATAAATTTGATGATTCCATACCTAGAACATAGTAAATGCTCCATACCTGTTACCTGTTATTAATATCAAAGTCTGATGGCAACTGCCTATTTTGTACTTGATTCTTTCACTTTCTACTTGGTCCTTTCACATCTATTATCCCAGGGCAGTGACACTCCTAAGTGTGCAGAATGGCAGTGAGTGAGGATTATCTCCATTTCATGTCAAAGAAAGGCAAAGAAGCACACACATTATCTCTTTGAAATGTTTTCACTGGCAAAGTTTAAAGCAAAAATATATCACGGATTTATTCATGTAACAAAGAGTTATTAAGCACATGCTATGTCCCAGGTCCTGTGATAAGCACTGAAGATTCAGAAATTTTTTTAAAAATGTACACACAACTCTCCCTGATTCAAGAAGCTCAAAATCTACTGGGGAAAACAGGTTAATAGACAAGTGAATTATAGTAGGATTAGTGCTGGACTAAAGGCACGTGCTAGTATTATGGGAATGATGGGAGAAGGCTGTAGAGAAGCCTTGATGGTTGAGTTGGGTCTTGAGAAATGAGTAGGAGTTCCCCACGAGGCGATGGCAGTCGAGGGAAAAGTGTTGGCAGGGCTGGCAGGACCGATGAGCGTGGTGTGCCTGGAGTGGCTCTAAAGGAAGGGAGAAAATGACTCACCATTTCAACTGTTGAGTAACACAGAAAACCAAGTCTCTCAATTCATACTTCAAAGCTAGAAAAATAAAACATCAAAAGTGGTACAAATCATAGCCTAATCTTTCTAATGAATAATCAGAAATTCCTAAATTAAATATTAGCGTGTTAAACACAGCTGTAAACCATGAGTGAATAAAGTTGATTCCTGCAATGTCATTAATAGGTCAGCAGAGACAGTCTCATCTTAGTGGATGCCAAAAGGCAGCTGATAAAATTCATTATCCTCTTCAAGAAAAAAATTGGAAACTAGAATTAAAGAATTCCCTTCATACGGTAAAGAACGTCTATCTCAAGCCAACAGCCACTACGAAATGGAGCAGTGTAACTGGAGGATTTCCCCATGAAAATCAGTTGGAGGTCAAAGCTGTCAGTCATTACCTCTATCATCTGACATTATTCTGAAATTTGAGGCAATGCAATGCACTAATATAAGATAAAGAAATAAAGTATTTAAATGTCAAATGAGAAAATTATCAATACTTGCAGATAATATTTTTCTAATAGGAAATATCTATCAGAAGCTGTAAGAACTAATAAAAGAATTAAAGTGATTAGTTTAAGAATAAACATATAAAAATCAGCATTTTCTGTGTTGCTATAAATAGCCTTTTAGAACACTTAACCAGAAAATCGATTCCATTAATAATAGTAACAAAAATAAAATAATCAAGAGTAAATTTAATACCAAAGATATAAGGTCTAAATTTTTAAAAAATGATTACAAAACTC